CTAAGAATATACTTTGCTGTTAAATAAATTGCTAATATAAATTTAATGTTTTTTATTTATGCTTATTTTCCTAAAGATATGCATACATAGTAAAACACCCCAATAATCAATCACACGTACTAAAATGTAATGTTTTAACATATATGTAATATACATATATAGAGCTTATAATGTAAACTTTTTTAACAAAGATTTTCTCACCATACACCGAAGAAGTGGTGACTGTATTTTCCTACTTTGACTCTTAAAATAATATTTATATATATATACTTATACTTACAGCTCAAGTAGGAACTAACACTTTATTTTCTTATGTGAAATTAAAGCATTTAAAGTTGTTATATTTATTATTGTATTATTATTTATTAGCACACTAACGTTTCATCCTTGCCTTGATTTCATATATTTTCAATAACCTATTCTCGTTCTCACGCCATAGGCAAAGAAAACAACAGAGCACGTGACCTCAAACTTTATCTTGGTAAATAACAATTTCATGACAACGTTTGTCTAAAAAATTGAAACATGTATACAAAGGTTTCGTAGAATAAACAGATACAAACAATTATTTACAATTTAATACATTATTATTCTAAGTCTAATTCAAGGAGGGGGAGAGGGGAACAATTATAACCTAAAATAAAATAAAAAAAGATGAGCAAATTTTTACTTTTCCCCCGAGTTGTGGGACAGCCTAGCAGGAACCAAATAACCGCGCGTGTTGTGTTACGGTAGCAAATACACTTGTAACTAGACTTTTACAGAAAAGGGGCGAATAGGGAACTAAAAGAGACTAATACTACAAATATTGGCACTCGCAAATAATTATTTGCTTACGTATACTCTAGCTACATAGACTATTCATTTGCTTCACAATGATTACTTCGTATATTAATTGGCACGATCATAGCTCCTGAATCCGATTCCTAATTGTGTTTTTATTAGCAGATAAAATTTCTTTACGACAATGTTGTTAACATATACACTATAAATTGGTTCATCATTTACCATCCTGTCTAAAAACTGAAAAACTTTCTAGTATACTATTTTAGGACCAATTTTGTAGTACTAATTGTATTAATAACGGAAACTTACCAGAAACAAAGAGATTGAAATGTTTGGTTGGTTATCTTGGAGCAGAATCACATTGGGCTATTTGCCGAGTCTTATCGTGTGGAATCGAAACCTGGATTTTAGCATGGTATGTCCGTAAACTTACCGCTGTTCCACCATTGAAACTACAGTTACCTTTGTTTTTTTAACTTCCGCCATACCTCGAAAGCTTTGTTAATGTTGATATTTACTTCAGTAATGACACGTAGATGTTAAGTTGTTGGTACACTAGGCTTTCTCTACAAACGCTGAGTAGACACAGAAAAGAATAATAAAATAAACAAATATTGAGTGTTGGAGCTAAAATCATAAGTATTCAAAATCCAACATGGCCAGGTGGTTAGGACGCTCGACTCAAAATTTGAGGGTTCGATCCCCGTCACACCAAATATACTCGCCCTTTCAGCCGTTGGGGCGTTATAATATGACGGTCAATCCCACTATTCGTTAGTAAAAGAGTAGTCCAAGAGTCGGCGACGGGTGGTGATAACTAGCTGTCTTCTCCTTAGTCTTTCACTGCTAAATTAGGGACGGCTAGCGCAGATAGCCCTCGTGTAGCTTTGCGTTAAATCCATAACAAACCAAACCAAACTCCAAACAGGAGTACAAACAGTTCTAGTTTGCACGTCACACTGACAAGAGTCCTAAAAAAATATGCCTATCATATGCTTTCTACGCTTATGTTTTTGCTTATATCTAACGGTCTTCTTTCTAAGTACTGTTTCTAGTATCACCGATTTATGAAGCAACTTTATAGAAGGATTCGTAATATAGTTGTAGAATTGTAGAGTTTTTTTCGTTACTTCATTGAATCTAATTAGATGCTTTGATAGAGTAATATAAAACATCATTAAGTAATAGCACTTCATGCAACATTTAAATAATTGGTTCCTTATCGGGCTCCTGTTTACGATAGGTGATAACGAGTCGGACAAATCCAACCTCTTAATTATCCAGGATAATCTCTTAGATCGTATAAAATGTATTAACAGCAGCATCAAGTCATATTTTGGTAGTATAGGGTTTATCATTATTATTATTGAACACTTACTGTCGTTTGAGGTAGAATTAATGCTGTCGTTATCTCAACAATGTATATTATGAAAGCAGTCTCTAATACTGGCCATATAAGAACTAATTGATCTTTCTTCACACCTCGAATAAAAGACGCTTGACATGTGTGTTTTTTTTACATACATCGACTAGTAATGTTTACCATGCTGACACATCGATATACGTTGGTTAGTAGGTCTTTCAAAAGAACCAATTATATGGTTATTCTAACAACACTATATTAACGTGTTAATACACGTTGGTGTATACAGTTGGTCGGTTATCGACTTAAATCAATCATAGAATAACGTTTCAGAGTACACACTATCATTTGATTAGCTAAGTTGTAAACTTGAATATATAAAAACAACAACAGTAAACTAAATATATCGATATTATTATTATTATTATTAATCTGTTAATGAAACTCTTCACTTACTATGTATAATATAAATAGTTAGTGATATTCAGTGATAATGATATCTCTCAAGTATTAAGATTTAAAAGATTAAATGACTGTCTGTATATTTCATTTAGTTTGTACACACTGCTTATGCTGTAATTCTGACTTATTTAAACTGTTGTTTAACCTAAAGTCTGGTTTTAAACAAAGAATTATAGGCTTCAGGATACTCCTCAATACACGCTTATGACTTGAAATCAGATTTCTTCAGTAAAGTATTTAGTAGGTAGGCTGACTTTGTTACTGCTATTTAAATAGAATCAGTCTAGAATATCTGTCTCCACTTCTCTTTCATCTCCAAGACCTTCGTCAGGCGAACCTCTGTTTCTGGAGTAATTACCGTACTGGGGTATGTTAAACTGAACACACCTAGAGATCTGGCGTTCACTTTCGTAGGTTGGGTAACCGAACGCACATTCTTCGTCAAGAGAATTTCTCCGTACATAGTACCTGTACAGTGCTGAAGAGTCCTCTTCGTCTCCCCGTACATTGTACCCGTACAGCGCTGAAGAGTCTTCTTCATCAAAGTAAAGTTCTTGTTCTGATAGAAACCGTTGCTGGTTTCGTTTCTGCCAAGTGCGGGAACAGTTGTAATGCTTAGATTTAGAAGCCAGCGAGCACCTTCGACAGTGGCCACTGCGCTTATGAAAATTATCAAGTGTAGTGTATTTCTGAGGGGAGTTTAAAGCGTTAGTGTACGAAGGTAGAGGATTATCGTACACGTTCACACAGCTTTTAGATAAAGATTTCTCGGAGTCTCGATTTTGATCTGTCTCATTAACAAGCTCTGGTTTCTTAGAAATAGTTCCATCTGAAATACAATTCGTGCTGTCAGAAAGACCTTCCTGAGGAGCGATATTTTGAAATGGTGTTTGCTCCTGACCTCTTATACTAACTTTCAAACTGTATTTTTTACGCATAGCACTGGCTCCTGCTCTTCTTTTATTAGTTCTTTTCTGTCTCCGATGTAGTAATGCAAAGCATATTAAAATAAACAGAATTGTTCCAACTAATAACGCTCCTATCACAATTCCGATAAGTTCCGAGCCACTTAGTACAATTAGCGAACTAGGCTCTAGTGGTTTAACTACTAACGTTATATTGATTGAAATATTTCCAGCTTTATTTTCAGCATTGCAGAAATAGCTACCGCTGGAATTTACCTTAACATTATTAAAAGTTAGGGTGCTGGAAACACTTTGACCCTTATTCTCATTTTTTATAGTGTAATATTTTTCTGTTTCTGCGTCGAATTCATAAAATCTGCTTGAAGTCCAAAACAACTGCGATTTAGGAATTGAAAACACCTGACAATATAGCGTAGCATTTGTACCTTGAGTTGCGAAAACAGTAGCTTCACCAGACGTGAAGACAGGAAGGCAAGCAAAATCCTCCAGCTCCAAGGTATTCCAAGAAAAACCCTTCAGGTGTGGTGGGGCATTACATCTAGGAGAAACAGCAGTGGGAATCTTCTGGTTGATCATCCACAGTCTTAAACCCCTAAGCTCGCAGTCACACAACCAAGGATTATGATGCAGCTCTAAACTATGTAGAGGTGCCAACGTATGGCTGAAGTCTTGAGGAAGATTATACAGGTTGTTGTATTGCAAGTGAAGGCTTTCTAATTTCACTAACCACTGGAAGGCTCTAGATTCAATGACTTTTATTTTACACTTACTGAGATTCAAGAATGTCAAGTGTGTTAAATTTAAGAACGTTTCTTCCGCAATTTTCGAAATTAAGTTGCTACTAAGATCTACTTTACGCAAGAGTCGACTTTCGGACATAGCAGCGGATGGAACTGTGTCCAGAAAGTTGTGACTTAAATCCAACTCAACCAGATTAAACAGATGTTTGAAAGCGTGACTGTGAATATCTCGTAACTGACACTTAGAAAGGTAAATCTTCTGTAGGTTTACTAAACCCACACGCTGAAAACATTTCGTCGGGAGTCTCCAAATTGTATTTTCATTAAGGTTCAAAACCTGTGTACTGCTACTGATTCCTCCAGGTACACTCTTCAAACCAGCGTGAGGACATTCCGCTGTTTCTTTTCCGTGTTTCCAAATGCAACTACATACTACAGGGCACTTTTTTGCTCCAGAGTAAACAACACAAACACCTAATGTTATGTAAAGAACCAGCGCCCACGAGCGCCGCACAGTGTCCTGCATGCTGTGCAACATAAAGAAAGTCCAACAAACGTAAGATCAAACACCGAAAGCTCCATCCAGTTCCTCAGTGGCTATATATCTTCCAATTTCCTACTCTGCGTGTTACTTCTATTTAAAAAAACAACAACAAAAAAACTGCTATTTTCCCTTTTTTTTTGCCATAATTTTCTCCTTCATTTCACAGATAATTTTCACCCCGAACTGAATCTCTTACAGAACAAATTTTTGCTATCTTACAATCACGCAACAATGGAGGAGTCCAGCAGCTTTTTCATGAATTATTCCACTCTATCGTGTCTTTTCAATACTCGGATCTCTCTAGAACAATGTTTTCTGTTTTATCTCTGTCTCCGACTGGGTGAATCATCCCGGAAATCGTATTCCTGAAAAAAAAAGAAAAACGCAAACCGAATCACATTAGCGCCCTTGAATACTTTCCACTTAGATTTGCAAAATATTATAACTGTTTTGATTAGAAAATATCACTTGAGATGAAACACGTCTTTCTTTTCACAGAAATATAAAACAGTGTTTTTAATTTAACTTATATTTATCCTTAAAACATTCGACAAAAGTGAATTATTTTTTGAGGTGTTAAATTTTTGTTGTACAAATAGGCAAATACAGTGCACGATATCGTCTGATTTCTACTTTTTCTATTATAAAATGTTTGAACTGCAAAATTAACTCATAAGCACAACTTTCATTGACTGGATTGATGTTCATAAGTGTTAAGATAGTGGCGCCAAAAGAAATAGGTCATTAATTTTAGATAAAAAAGAGTGAGTTTCAATAAGTTTACAAAACCTGCCTGAATTTCTTTTTTTCTAATACCTTACACTTTCATCTATAAAGAATGCCACAAACGATATTACTAAGCTTAAATCAACCCATCTATCTTGGTTGAATATTAATCAAGTAAATTACTTGGATCGTTCACACTGATTCGATTCGATATGCAGTCTTACTGCCTACCAAGCAAACGAGTGGCAGTGTGTTATGAGGTTGAAACTACTTTCTTCTGTGAGAAAACAATACGTGTACTTTATAGAAATATGACAAAAATTGAGGTTTAAGTGCGCGATTAAGAAACAGGGGGAAACCATATATATAACGCTGTTAGAGAAGGGACGAGATACCATAGTCATTACATCTTATCAAATTGTTTTTGCGACCCCAAAGACAATCGACAAGCTTCTGTGCATGTAAGCGTTCATGATATCTGCTTGACCTTGTTTTCCTTAACAGATCACGTCTGTAAGGCTTAGTTCTTATTAGCAGGAAATAATCCATTCAAGGCGTGAGTGAGAAAAGTAAACGAGATAAAGTATGTTTATACGCTCTCCTACCTGATTGTTCATGCATACAGTTCCCATTACGTGTTTCTTTGACTATCATGCACTTACACCTATTGTCTTCTTTGGAAAGTGTGAAAAGAAGCCTAAAAAGGCTGAAGGCTGTGAACTGCGTGCCTTATCCTCACTTGAAAGTCTTCAGTATAATAAAGAAATCAAAGTAAATGCTAATCTCTTGCCAGGTTATTGGATCATTAAAGCGTGTAGGCTTTGGTGTGGATGGACTTTAGAAAGAAACAAAAAAGGTGTCTCAAAAGAAGTACATTAAATCATGGAGAAAACAGTAGAATGATCTCGTACTGACAAAACAGGATTGTGTAAATTTTCACCAAAAACAATGAATGAGATAAAACTACGAAGTATGTGTATGTTTTCACATTCAGGCATTTCGTCGCATAGATATGAATGTGTGGGCATGTACAGTGTAAACATATTAAAAATATCCTCAGTTCATTTTTTGTTCATAAAGTAGCTAGAAACAATCATTTTTTTCTTTCTGAAATTCACTGACTTGCAAGTAAAAAACAAGAGGGAGTCCTCAATAGTCGCGGCACTTGAAATTCTTTTTGGCAGGATAAGAGTAAATGAATCAATAAGACATTTGTTTGCCTTTTTATTAGCTATACTAGTATAAAAGCCCGTCAAAAATGACTTGAAACCAAAACCTACCAAATTTGAATCCTCCAATATGCATTTACAACTTTGCCGCCTGTAAACAGACATAACAAAATTAAAGGGTCTTGTAGCTTCAAGAAACCAAAACCTATCATGAGCAATATGTACTTTATCTAAAGAGTGTAAACATGCTACATATTGGTGCCTTTGGATAAAAGATTAAAACATACGATGACCATGGGATTGCATACACACTTTTTCGTCATCTGAGTAAAATTCGCCCTTTTCCCTACACATAATTGGTATCTTCAGTCTATTTTAACAAAGTCTTTTTTTCGTAATAATACCCAAGCATAGATTTGCACTAATTTCCGATTTATTTTTCACAGGAGTCTTCCCGGCTTTCCTATTCAGATCCTACCTGGCTTGACGTCATAACAATGTGGATGATGTGGTGCACACACATAACGTTATGCCTGATCTGGTGTTGGGAACTCCTTCCTTGCCAGGTTTCTATCTAGCAGAAAAAGTGTCGAAATTTAGGAGCTACTTACGCCTATGTTAGCGATTAAATTCAACTAAAATGGGAACGGGCAATGAAAAGAGGAAGTATTATAGAAGAGAAACTAGAATTGGACTCGTATAACTCACGAAATTCGGAGAAATCGAGCGTGACCGACCGACAGACACTTGGCTTTTAATATATTGATTTTTATGCGCCTGCGTGGGGTGCGTGTATACCCGATTCGATTTTATTACTCATCAGGACCTCTACCAACCTACCCTCAAATTGAAATTAGAGATTAGAGTAAATTAATTTATTAGATCTTGGGCGTGGTCAAATATATTAATCGAAAGGGTTTTACCTCCTGAATCCGAAACTGCTATTAGATCTCAAATCGGTCAAGAGATGATGGAGCTATGAGCTAAAAGTTTGTACTTGAAAAACACAGAGCCATTCTATGAGCCGCTATGCCGCGAACAATTATAAAACTGTAGCATCCAATACAATGAGGGGAATAAACTATAATTGAAGTAGAATATATAGTTGCTGAAAATTCACTGAGTAAATAGATTTTAAAACTTATTTTTTTTGTAGTACACACTTAATGTCATAAAAAGTAGTCAATTTTCCATCCTAATTCAAAACGTTGTGAAGAAGCAACAAAGCGGTAATTAATAAATAACAAAAATAACTATATCTCCCCTCTAATCTATCAATTCAAAATTAGGAACGTTACTTGGTTGTTGTTAAGGAATGGGCTATGAGACCTGTGCCCACCACGAATAATGAAATTTCGGGGTTTAGCGATATATGCATCTAGACTCTCCGCTGAGCCACTGGGAGGCAATTAGGAGGGTTTGTTTGGTTTGGTTTGAATTTCGCGCACAGCTACACGAGGGCTATCTACGCTAGCCGTCCCTAATTTAGCAGTGATAGAATAGAGGGAAGGCAGCTAGCAATCACCGCCAGCTCTTGGGCTTAACTTTTACTACGAATAGTGAGATTGATCGTCACTTTATAACGCTTCCACGGCTGAAAGGGCGAGTATGTTCGGTGACGGGGATTCGAATCCGTGACCATCAATTACAAGTCGAGCGTCTTAACCAACAGGCTATGCTAGGCCTAAGGAAATTAGGAATTTCTAGCACAGATATTCCTTGAGTAACTATGCGCGAAATCCCGAAAATTAAATAAACAAATATGTTAAAATATTTGGAAATCAAAAGTATCTTCATGTATTTGTAATTATACTTATAAGCAGCATGTTCCGTATTCGGTGAAAACAGGACGAGTAATACATAAACAAATGTCCAATTATTATTTACCCTACTTGTGTAAATGATAAAGTCATTTACACAAGTAGGGTAAATAATAATTGGACATTTGTTGATATATTACTCGTCCTGCTACAATATATCCAACATGACTAATAAATGGCTCTCTTCTTTGTTTGTTTGAAGTTTTGTCCACCACGGTTATCGAAACTCGGTTTCTAGCGTTGTAAGTCCACAGACGTATATATCCTTTGTATTTATGTAACTTTTATAACTCCCTGGACCAAAATGTAACCACGCTAGTAAAACGTGTGGGATGAATACGAATAATACGTACAGTGATCAAAAATATTAAATCTTACTTTGAATGTTAGAATACTTCGCGTTTAATTAATGTATGTGTCGTTATAGAATTAAGTTTCGTTGAATTACTATCCAATACATATAACACAACGCTAGATACAACAAGTATCTATATTTTGTACTTATAGCTGTCTGCCGCCGTTCTTAACTATGAGTTACTTACTAATCAGAGTCCCAGAAGACGGCCAGTCTACAGCACAATATTACCATCCATGCTAAATGATTAAAAATAATTTCTAGCAACACTTAACCAGTTTTTGTAACCCGTGTTAACCACTCGCACCACTGTACAGTAGTGTGTTGTCAGTCAGTCAGTAGGCACTAAAATGACGTCACATAAGGGATGCTTAACGTTGCAATTTGTACTTTTGTGACGTCAATAAAACGTGCGCATGCCATGAATCACGAGAAGAATTATGTATTCTGTAGGCTACAACACAGCATGATATATGAACTTCAAAAAGCAAGAAATAAAAATATTTGTTACTCTTAATTTTGGATTTATTTGCTCTTGAAACAGAACAGTTTCGGGGAACACGCGGAAGTACATCTAGTATATAAAATGATATACCTATTAACAAATGACGATAAAACAATTAGAAGGAGATGAAATCCTTCCCGCTTTCTCTACAGAAACTTTCTCGTCTAATAGTATGCTACACTACGTATTTTATGGTATGTTATGTTACGCTGTGAACCACCATTAAACTCAAGTATAAGAAGCTAGTTTGCGTGCCATAACTTCTTGCAGAAACAATCTGTACAAAAAAAAGTATAACAGGTCAAATTACAAATGCCTTCCCTGACTTTCCAAGATCACAATTTGATCAAATATGTCTTATTAATAAACACTAAAGTCAATTAATGACAAGAATCGTTAAGATGATTAGACAGTTAAATAAAATGTGTCCTTACAACAAAATTTGAGCTTACTCTTGAAAATATTGTGACCTCGCTGTTCGCGGTCAGACTTATGTTCAGTTAAAATGTTATTTTCTGTTTATTGCTCTACAATAACTTCGGTTGTATGTTTCTTAAATATTTTTCAAAATGTTAGAGGTCTATTAAATAACATTCTAACGACCAGCGAAGACTAGCAAGGAATAGTTTAGGTAAAGACATACAACAATATCATTAAAGAGTTTAAGAAAAGACACGCAACAATATCATTGAAAAGTTTAAGGTAAGACACGCAACAATATCATTGAAAAGTTTAAAGAAAAACACATAACAATATCATGAAAAGTTTAGGAAAGACACAAACAATATCA